TCACCTAAATACGGCATTTATTTTACATTTATCAATCCATATTTTAATAAATAATTCATACTTCTTATAACTAACTGTGTTTATATGTATGTATATAAGCCAGGGATAGAAGAACATGGCTTTTAGCCATATTCCATCAAAAGTATTACTTATGTGGACGCAAGTGGGATTTGTTACCACACCAACATTTTTAGGGGGTGGGCTTACAGGTTTCATTATAGTTCCTTACAGTTACCTTCAATGCAACAATTTTCCAGCTTGTCTTCCTGTATACCGGCCAAGGTTTCTAGAAATAAATGCCTTTCATCTCAGACTTTCCCAGAAATAGGGAAATATTAGCATTTTGAGGCATACAAAGTGTCAAAAATGGACCATTTTGTAGAAAAAGGTAAAAGAAAGTCAATTTTTGAAAAATATTCCAATATTTTGAATATTTTTGATGTGACTTGTTTGAAACTCTTTAAATCTTTTCGCAGAACTCACATTTCGACAAAATTAAGAAAGAATCTTCAATTCTAGAACAAAAGGCCCATGGACCTGAGCTGCAATCTGGTATACAAAACAGTACATAACTTTAAAGGGTCACTATTTCTGCAGTAATTTTTTTTTTTGATTCTGTATTATAATAATGTTGCAAAAATAAATGTGAAGCTATAAAGAAAAGAATTTTGATGATATATGAACTTATAATAAAACCATATAGGAGGCAGACCACCATTAAATTTCACCATCTCGGAACCCACGAATTGTAGTTCGTCTATTTATAGCAATTCTCTCTCTCTCTCTTTTCTCCCCTTTTGCATGCCCATTTTTGTTGATTTTTTGGTCTAGACTGGACGAAGAGGGTTTGAATTAACATTTTCTGCCAGGTTTTGGTAAATATTCATGATTTTGAGGTGGAAGGATAACAGGGTTATCAGGTTGGCTACGGCGATATGTACGGCAACTAGTTACATGTTTTTAGTATGCTTCTTCAAGTTTGTGTATCTCAAAATTTTGGTGGTCAACCTCATACAAATTTTAGTGCAAAGACATGACCATTTGTTCCTCTGTCTGTAGTGAAAAGCATTCAGCCCAACGAAAATTTGGGGAAAAGTTGGAGGTGGGCAAAGAGGCCAGAATTAACATTGAAGTCAATGGGGAAATTAATGGTGGTCTGCCTCCATATACGTCTACATGAAAATGTGGGCGTATAAAAGCAATAATTATATTAAGTATTCATGAGCCTTTGTGGTATTTTATGATCTTGACATGTAAACAATTTGCTCTTCGAGTCTTATGTGTACTTGTATAAAGAAATTATTGTTTTTCAGTATGCAATACTGTTATTCAGAATAATTTAGGAAATAGAAATCATCAAACTGAACATCCTTCAAGACAATAATATAATCATAGATATTTAATTAATGGGTAATCAATGTTATTGTCCATGATAACAACATAACAAGATGGTGATTATATGATATCAGACCCCAATCTCTACGGTTAAGTATCAATTAGGTGTGCCATTTGCCATTGGGTGTGTATTTTAAAAAATGTATGATCTTATTAATTTCAAATATCAATCTCTTTTAGTTTGCATAGATTTCATGTCGCTTTTTTCATTGTTTTTGCAGTAAGCTTATAGTAATATACATGATGAGAAAATAAGATATTAGTAGACATGATAAGAAAATAAGATATATGGGTTTTAGTATGTGTGCCCTTGAAAAGTAATTTAAATTTTACCAGAATTTCCACTAAAGTAGAAGTTACCGCCAAAACTTAGACCTTTTAACAGACTTCTACAGAAAGAATAGAGCCAAAAAGTAAAGTGTGTGTAAATGTAATGAGCTTGCTGAGAATGGGTATTATTGAATAATTGATCAATATAGTTTATATGATTGCCACCAATTAATGGCTTGAATTTGATTGTACATTACATGTTGATCAGTTCGGTTATGTTGGAACAATACAAGAATGTCTGAAGGAGCTGAAGGATAATAATTATGATATCTATGGATTATTACTGGTACTCTAACGTGTACAGTTTGAGCTAGTCTGATCAATTCCTGAATATTATTTATATTGTTCATTAGCATATTCAAAAAAGGCTTACTGTAACAACACATAATTACATAATCCTATGGAGATATATGTCTGTCTTCAAATCTGCTCAGCTTTGTACATTTAGACATAATGTTTTTATTATCTAAAATGTATTTCTTAGGTCTAGATTACCCAACTTTGATCTGGAATGTGTTCCAATAAATGTTGAATTATGCCATATTTGTGCCTTATTCTGTACCATATCAGGAAGATGTCTAGGTCTATTGATTTTTCAACAAAATTTGGATGATATATACGTGACAAAACCGTGTGGGATGGTTTTTTTTTTCTTTGTAAATTTTTTTAGTACTTTATAGTCTGTTGCTATTCAACAATTTGGATTATATTTGTCTTCTGCTAGCTTGTAATTATCAATAAATTTGTAAGTTTTTTTGTACAATCTTTGTTAAACAGATTGATAGATCTGAATGAGTGTACGATACAAGCAATGTTGTGCTAGTTTTAATCTTGATTAAATTATTTATACAGTTAATTAGGTTGAGATAATAAAAATGCTTAGATAAGAAGTAAAGTAGTCTTTGATGGTTTTTATACGCCCACATTAAAATGTGGACGTATATTGCCGTCGCCCCCGTCCGTCCGTCTGTCGGTCTGTCGTCCACAATTTCTTGTGAACGCTCTAAAGCCAAAAGTTATCATCCAATTTTTTTTAAATTGATATATGTTGTTTACGTTAGTGAGATGAAGAAGCCTATTTAATTTCAATAATTTCCGTTTATTACGTCTTGAGTTATGGCCCTTGTTTCACTTTGTTGAACCTTGTGAACGCTCCAACGCCAAAAGTTATCATTCGATCTTTGTGAAATTTATATGCATTATTTAGATTAGTGAAACGAAGAAGCCTATTGAATTTCAGCAATTTCCGTTTATTACGTCTAGAGTTATGGCCCTTGTTTCACTTTTTTGATCCTTGTGAACACTCTAACGCAAAAAGTTATCACCCGATCTTTGTGAAATTTATATGCATGATTTAAATTAGTGAAACGAAAAAGCCTATTGAATTTCAGCAATTTACTATGGCCCTTGTTTCACTTTGTTAAACCTTGTTAATGCTCGATTGATGATAGTTATCATCCGATATGTATGAAATTTATATTCATCAAATTTGTGAAACAGGTCTATTGAATTTCTGCAATTTCCGTCAATAATTTCTAGAGTTATGGTGATTGTGAACGTTTGAATGACAAAAGTGATCATGTCATCTGTATGCATTATTGAAATTAGTAAAACGAAAAAGCCTGTCAAATTTCAACAATTTCTGTAGATTACTTTCAGAGTTGAGACCCTTGTTTCAGTTTTTAGAACCTTGTAAACCCTCAAACGACAAAATTTATAATCTGATATGTATGGGACTGTCTTGTAAAGGCCCCCAATTACCTACAAAGGAATAAATATGCGACAACCCTTGAGGATCGCTAGGACGATTTAGCTGCTGTGGGCGTATGTTTTGTTGCCTGGCAACCTATCTTTAATGCAATGCAGCTTGAATCGTGAACAGGTAGAAATTATATAGTCAAAAGTTATTCCAACAGCCTAGCAACCATGTTTGTATTCTACTAAAAACTTATTGATCTCTTGTCTGTCTAATGTGAAAAAATGCAAATCAAACAGCCAAGTCAGTATGATGATATATAGGCAATCTTTCTGCACTAATAGGCTTTATAATTATACCCTGATTATTTTATAAGTAATTGTGTTAATTATCTTAATGTAATTAGAAAAAACCTGGCCTTGCAGAATATCTCGGACAAAATGTGTCGACATGTGGTAAACTATTATGGTTATTGTTGTGCCATTTAAACCATGTTTGTTGTTTGAAAGTTTATAATGATTTTGGGTAACATACTATTATTATGGTACACAATTCCTACCTTACTTTGTTTTTCAGCAATATTTGTTAAGAATTTAGGAATAGTCATTTGTTAGTTACCTATAAGGTTGTGATCATTGAGAAATAGTATGAGAAATAATCCATTTTCTTTATGTGATGAAAAACATTTGAATTAAAAGAACAGGATTAACACCAGGTGCCATTAGGATATCTTGAATTTGTTACACAATTGAAGACCGTTTCTACAAAGGGTTATCAAAGCATAAAACTGGTAGACAGCAGTTTTACAATTGACCAAACTTTGACAATGTGATCAGTAATTGTTATCCCAATATAAAAGATGCATATAAAAAGTTTGGATAAATGTAGGTGAATGTAACTTTAGTCTTATTCCTTGTTTAAAGGTAAGTGCAAGGTAAAGCATGTCATTCTGAAGTGACAAAAAAAAGAAAAACAAAAGAAATGATGTCCTTGGAGGTTAGAAAGACTGAAACTATTAATATAACTTGGGATTCATTTGCTTTGTTACAGAAGTAGTTTTATATATTATGTACCACTGACATACCATTTCTGAAGTTCCCTCCTGTTTGACAATGGATCTATTTGCATTTGAAAGCAGCTGTTACTTATTTGGTCTTTGCTTTAAGGGGAGCCACTGGGGGTGTCAGCTTTGCTCATGGTGTTGGCCTGGAAAATTCCTCAGGATTTTCCGACGTGGTTTCCCCTTGTCAGTAGCACAGGATGAAGGTGGCTGTCTAATCGTTTGGATGGGACAAAAAACATTGTTGCGCACCTAAGAGAACCCTTGGCAGTTGGAATTTTGTTATAAGAGAAGAGTAGGCCATAGAGCTGCTGTCTGCGCAAAATTTCCCTCATAGTCATAGCACACTGCATGGTGTATGCTCATCTTTATTTACCCTGCAGTCAGTGCACAAAATTAGGACATTAAACTCTATTTCATTTCTTTGCTTTAGGCTTTAGCCTTCTATTGTTTCACTGAATTGTCTGACTTTTGGTTTGAAAATAATTTCATATAAGGAATATTTCTGTATAATTTCAGGTTATCATCAAGAGGATTTAGTATGAGCAGGTATGGCATGGAGGAAATTCATTGATATTTCAACCAGTATAGACTGAGATCCCACCATTTCCTTTATCATATCTCCCCATTCATAGTAAACAGTTCATAAGATGAAAGATACTCCTAATAATGAAGAAAATGTGCAGCAAAAAAGTAATGATGTGAGTAAAGAAAGTACAAAAAGTCACCCGATAGTCAGTGAAAACGGCAATACAGCACCATGTAGTTCAGACAGTCAACCTGAGGTCAAGTTAACACCTTTAGAAAGGTTGAACCATGACCTCAACAATGATGCAAAATGTACCAAAGAAATAACTTTAGGAAAGCGTATAGGCTTTTATCGAATACGAGGAGAGTTAGGAAGTGGAAATTTCTCCCAAGTCAAAATGGGTATTCATGCTTTGACACGAGGTAAGTTACCTGTATCATTGATTTTTTTTTTCATTCCAATTTAATCTGGTGAACTTAATTTCTAACTTAATTTTTTACTTTATAGCGCTGGTCCTCAAAACTACAGTACATAAATCATTCATTGGAAATCTTCTGTTTAGTTACTTATTGCGGTAAACAAAAAAGGAGCACATGGGCCATATGGGAGGACCGATATCCCCCCTCCCCTCCCTCCCTCCTTGATCCACATTGTCATCAATTTCAGCAGTACTTTGAAGAATCACATTACAGTCAACGACCCTCATTGTTGCATGGCAAATAAAGTAATATAGTAATGTGATTCTTCAAAGCTCTAGTTGTGAAGCTACTGTTTAATTGATGAAAGCTTGATGGTTTATTATTTATTCCTGGTTGAATCCAAAACAAACAGTAATGATTTTGTGAGTGTGGTGGAAATCCTAACATGATTACTATGACAGCGGAAATCTATATATTTTACAGGAGAAATACAAACCAGTCAGTTTTATCCAGTTTTCTTAATTGGCTGTTTTTTGTCGGATTTAGCCGATTGATGTTTAAGCTAGCCGATTGGTAAAACAATGAACCGGTCACTATAGTATCATAAATCAATCTACTTTCGGCTAAATTACAACAGGTTAATTACAACAGGTTAAGAAGCCAATCAACTTGCTTGTCTACTACAACAACAGTCATGCCTTAGTGAGAATCGACCATGTGGTTCATAATCAGAGAAGCCTAATTAGCACATTTAACAGTAATTTTGATAATCTGGTAAAAAAAAAAAACAAGCTTGCTGATTATTCATAACAACAGATTCAGTAAGCTGCTTTTTTAGAAATAACCCACGATCCCCGCATAGATTTCCAATCGAGCCTCTTCCATGCTCCGTATCATGAATTCCAGGTACCGGTAGATATTAAAATAATAACTGGATCATACATTGATGGATTTACTGACCAGTTGTTACGTAAATTTAAATCTTCGTTGAATATAATCCCATAATAAAACACAGAATACACTGAGAAACAGAAATTATTAATATATTTTCCCCGATAGTATCTCCAATGCCGAATTCCAATAACATGTGACATATCGGTTGGAATTGGGTCAATAAACCAGTTTTAAATATCTTTTACCATTATTTTATTATTTTATACGCATTCTGACAAAGGCTTAATCTTAAAAATATTGTCGTTTTTTATTGAAGGCTATATCATAATCGTACAGAATTTTAGTTTAAAGCCATTTCAATTATGGTTGTCACATGACAATTGTGCCGTTTGTCTATTGTCTTATCATCGATGAGTGAATAAAAACTTTTGCAAGTTACGTGACTAGTTATGTGATAGACGAAAAATTACAAATTGCGTTATGAAGAAATGCCATGATGCCATATCAGCTTATATTGACTGCAACATTTTCTGATACTGGCAATAGTAGAAAAATGCTAATATTTTAGATCATCGACTGAAGAACACAAACGTTTCATCAAATAAACGAGGACAGTAATTTATTCAGTAATATTACTTTACATGACTTTCAAGCTGGTACGTGAATTAAATATGGAAAAATTTCAAACGGTGTACCTATTTGTCGTTATTTTTGTGGTAATCACATACATTAGAATACAACATTATCCATAACAAATTTCCAAGAATATTATTTTTGTTTGTAATGGAAGCTTATAGTTAATGCATTTCCTACCGGGACCTCATTTGAACCAATTCTGGATGATTGTTTCAAAATGGATTAAGAACCCTGGTTTTATCCACCCTTTTCAAGTCTTTATTTCTATTAGACAAAATGTTATCCAGAAGAGAAAATTCTGATATAAAAATGAAAAGATGTAAATTTTGTAATAACATACAGGTATAATCAATAGCTTGCTGTATCTTATTGTTTGTATGCATGAAATCGCGGTACTGTGTAAATAATAATAGGCTTTATTGGAAATCGTAGAATCGATTACCGTACTCTGCTGTAGATAAGACAATTACAATTAAAAGCTGAAAACAATATTGATAACAGTTAAAGTGACAGCCTTGTGTAAATTTAAATCAATTTGGATGTTAATGATGAATAAATCCTGACTGACAAACCTAGACATAAGAATTTACTTTTTCTCACATGATTTACCATATGTGACTGGGTATGTCAAAATGAGTCAAAATGTGTGAAATCTAATTTTGAACTAGAGACAAAATAAGTGAAAATATTGATTTTGATCGAAATTAAGATGTCAACAAAAATGAGTCTATAAATATACTATCTATCGACACAAAAGATTAAAATAGCAATAAAAGATTTTAGAACACCTTTTTTTGGACGTTTTGTAAGAGTACCGCATTCTTAAATTTGTCCCATTTCTTAAAATTGGCCCAGACACCGCTGCAATTCAGCAAAGCATTATGGTTACGTAGCTGGCTTGAGCGGACGATAGTTATTTGGTTTTGGCGATAATGTTTTTGGGTACCTACATGCGATTCACTCTGATAAGTGGCAGAGAAAAATTAATTCTGATCGTAATGCCGTTAAGTGTTAGTCAAAACCACGTCGCGGAAAACTGTAAATTAATTGACAAGCAGGTTATTTGAGTAATACTAATCAACTGTCACGGATCAATGATAAAGCCATCGACGACTCATTATTTACTCCGAATAATTAATCCATGCGGTGATTACTTGATATCTCGTTTCATCTTTAAAAAAATAATTTATAGGCCTTATATGGAAATAAACAAACTGGCCGATAATTTTCTTTTCGAAGAGAATTTTATTGATAGCTGAATTCCGTTTACTGTTGCTTCTTCATACAGCATGCAAAGTAAGGAATGCATATTGGATATCATTGTTTAAAATTCTCTTATCACCATGAGTCGAAAAAAAGAGAACGACCAACGTGCCGAAATGCAACGATTTTCGAGTGGGAAAAACAATCTGCCATTGTTTAATTACATCAAAGCTAAACGGCACGAAAGTGAACGTATGCATTTCTTGCCAATGAAATTGACATTTCTATAGAGACTCATATATTGATACCGTTGCGGTACCTGAAAATAATAATAAATCTATTGTACATGCAAAACCTTATTTTAATTCATGTGTTTAATGAACACGCGTACAGCTGTTGCGGCTTCTTTGATGATTACCTAATCTCCTGACCACTAGCTGCCACTAAGGTGCTATTTAATTGATGAGATTAACTGAAGTTAATCTCACAAAAGTTATAATACACAAAACATAGACTACTAATGTATAGATTGTTCTTCAGTATAACACTATCATATGAATATGCTGCATGTGTTTTGGAAAGAGAGCTTTTACCACGATTTTCGTCTTCAGCACCTTCGAAATCCTAAATAAACAAATATTAAACAATAAAATAGCAAATAAATGGCGGAAATCGTCAGATTAAATTTTTACTACGATTTTCGTCTTCAGCACCCCTGAAAACCCCTGGAAAGATATATTTAACGACAAAGCAAATAAATGGTCTGGTTGCTATGGGATTTTGTTTTGGAATGCATACCAAATCTTTGATTTGCTTTTTCTCAAAACTTACTTTTGTGAGTTAGGTAGCTTCAAATGGACACAGCTCAGTCAATTTTTGCCTGATTCAAACAAAATATACATCAAATTGAAGGTAATGAGTTAGAGAATGTGAAAAAAACAATAACTCAAATTTCCTCATTGTGATGGGTCACATATTCTTTGTGACATTTAAAAATACTACTCTTCTTGACATGATTTCAAAATACTGCTCTTTTTGACATGATTTAAAAATACTACTATTTTTGATGTGATTTACTAGATGTGTATACTCCTTTTGACATAATTGACCGCACTCTGTTTTGCATGCTTGACATGATTTACCACACATACTACACATTATTTGAAATGATACTACTAGTACTAGTGATATCACATGCTTTTTGACATGATTTACTACTCTTTCTAACATGATTAATGATGATTTACTTTATTGGTTTGGCCATGACTTATCTTACCCTTTTTAACAAAAATTGGCTTGTCTTGAAGAACGGCATATATCTGTATTTGGTATTTAGGACACTACATTGTGGTGAATTGACGTCAGAAACATTTTTTTGCTATCAAAGAACACAATCAAGGGGCTCAATTTAAATTATCCATTATTATTATCGATTGTCAAAGAATACACACTTTCTCTGTTCATTAGAGAAAACTATTTTCATTTTCCGGTAAAAATTGATTAGAAACACAATCAATAACAGATTCCGTAACTTATTGGATAGTGAATTAAGTTTTCTTCTTTTCCCTTTCTATTCCTGTTGAAGCAAAAAAGTAATTTGCATTCGGATATAAATAATTCTTTATATACCCTCATGTGTAAATTATATCTCAATGAGAAGTTCATTTCAAGAACAATATTATCATAAACTAATTTTACATTCAAAATAAAATTTTAACCTAGAGATCTTTGCCATGGTTGATCTGTAACAACGATTCAAAGATTCCAGAAGTGATGCCAAAAATGCAAATCAGTACAATTTTCAGCTTACTGATAATTCCTCTTAGTCTTAATTTAGCCTGGCACATTCTACATACATTATGCAAGAGCTAAATCTGATTATTGCAAGTCTTTATTTAGGCTTCAGATGTCATAGAAATTATAAATTAGATCTTTATTTACACAACAAGCACAAAATCAACTCTGTAGACCCACGGATGGCTTGGATTCGGCTTGGATTTAAACAGGATTTCGTTGATTGATTAAATTTTTAAATGGCGTCATAAGCAGAGATTAACCGTTAAGTTGACGTCATACTCCCGGAAATAATTTTAGATCGAGGCTAAATGATAGATTGTACGAAGCAAGACCGCTGTTGAGCGAGGCCACATGTCAGTCAATTTGATTGAAAGTTAGATATACATGTATACGGCCTTGATATTATGTTTAGTTGTGGTTAAAATGAGAGTTTGTATGTCGGTATTATAGACTACGCTCTTTTGTCACTTGCA